TACTACTATACTATATACTATATATATATATATATATATATATATATATATATATATATATATATATATATATATATAACATACATATTGTTAATATCCAGGGTCTTCAAACTTTATGTTGGATGATATGAGTGTTCAATAGATGGTATAAAAGTTTTAATATGTTTGAACTAATTAAAGTGCCAACCATTGTTTGATAAGTGTCAGTGTTTAACATAGATATATCAAGCAATTGAAATCTCCATGCTTCATAGGTTAAGTACTTTACACTCATTTTTTATTGTGGTTCTTGTGTTGACATAAAGGAGGCTAAACCACTTGCTAAGCAAAGCATGGTTGTTGTTGAGCATTGACTACAAAGTTAGACTTGTAGCTAAGCAAATTTGAAGTTTTATGACAGGCTTCTGTTGCCAAAACTATCTTGTTTAGAGCGCTTTTTAATTTATTTTAGAGGGCTGTTGATCAATTGTAGCAAAATGCAATATACAAAGATGATTACTTACTAAGTGGAAGAACCAAATAAAATGAACCTTGAAGAACTTCAAAATCATTATGTAGAAAAGGATGTTTCATCGGAAGATTATTATTTCTCTTGATACTTTTTGCTTCTTTATCTATTTGCTAGATAGAATATGCTTATCCAAGTCTTCTTATATCTTCTTTGATCATGTAATATGTTTGACTTTCAATTTAGGATTCTGCTTCATATGAATATACATCAATGAAAAGTTTGAATGAGTCCAAATATGGATTCTGGGGAACATTGGCTAGGAAAGCGAAAACATTTATTGATAATGATGAGACATCCAATCAATTTCAAGGCATTGATAAGAATCCACATCAGACAGTTGACAGATCAACTGGTGGCCAGGTAAGAATGAAATCATGGATCTTATGTTTTTTTATTGAACAGAATTCAGCTTATGTTACTATAGATCAAATGTATTGGTTCAAATTTCCAGGAATGAGATTTCATCCAAACAGTGGTTGTTTTATCCAGCATATTTTGGAAAAATATGATGGATGAGTCATTCATATGGGTCAAATAATATTTGTCTGTATTTAATAATCATCGGTTTGGATTTTATTTTTCGGCCATAGCATTACCTTCCTGACAAAAACTCGTCTGCATCTGTTTCCTTTTTGCCCCCACCTAATTCCCATTTTGATTTATTTTAGTTTTAGTTTTTTGCTTCTGAGAAAAAGAAAATTAAGATGAGAATCAATTTGCTGAAGTTTTTTGTTTTAAGTGTTTTGAAAATTCATACATTAGAAATTTGTGGAAGGAAGCATTTTTCTTTGTTAAATTTCATCAAATAAAGGACGACCAGGAGAACCGGACCAATGACCTGGATCTGTGACCTGTGAGATTTCTGGTGTTCTTCTGCAACATAGCTATCCCCTTATGGCAACCACTAAACTTATTTGTCTTCAGAAAACCAAAATAGCACAAAGACAGTTTATGTTTCTTAGTTTTGAATACGTGAATAATGAAACAGCACCAAATGGGGCCTTAGTTGTTTTTGGACTGCAAGCTACTCATGCATTGCTTGATAGTTTTTTCTCCTCCTGCTGCTCCACATCATGAAGTTACATTGTCATACTTTAACAATGTTGTTATTTTGATCAGCCAGAGATTTTTCAGAAGACTGAGACAACTCATAAACGTTCAGATGCAATTGGTTCTTCCATTAACTATATTAGTGGCACAATAAAAAATGCTCTTGAGGTAAGTTATTTGTAAATCTTGTTCATTATGTACTCACAGTTGCCAATAAAACATTGAATATGGTGATCTTTGTCTTGTAAACACTGTTAACGAACTCTTCAAGGTTACTGAAGTATTAAACTTTGAGAGAGCATCATTACTTTTGTGAATCTAGATTTGTGGATTGGCATTGTATTTAATGTACTATCCTTTCCAATATGTATGAATGTTCTATTAAACTTATTTCTCATATCATATTATGTTTTATGAATAACATCAGATTCAATAACCAGAAGTCATTATGAATTTACAATTTTGAGAGGTTTATGTATCTCCAAGTAGAGCACAAGTAGATATGAATTTATTTCTGTCATAAAATCATTTATATTATTGGCATACTTATGTTGAAATATTATAATTTGATTTAAGCGGCTCAGTTTCATGATGGATAGAGGTAGTACATTGCTTCTTCTTCATAAAAAATTGAGATATACTGTCATTTATGCAAAAAATCTGGGTGCCTCCTACTCACTTTAAGATCAAGCACAATTGAATTTATTGCTTTGTAACATTGTACAATAACACTCTTAATACAAGCAATAAGCTGCTATCTATTTTGCATTAAAGTTGTTGGATTTTCTGTAGTTGAATTTTGTTCCTCAAATAACTTCATTTCTGTGTTAGTCTATTATCCAAGTAATATATTTCCTAATTTTCCAGGAGGGTCTTACAATTGTGGAGAGTAAAACAGCTGATATTATCCATGAAACACGTAAGCTCAATATAAGGAGAAAAGGAAACGCTGCCAATGTGCAGAGTCAGGCTGCAGAAAACTTGGGTCAACGTTATACCTCTCAGATTCAAACTGATTATGAAACTCAGCTGAAGGCATCTCGCGACGTAAGGTGGCAAATGTGTATCACTGAAATGGGTTTTGATCTACCTGTGGTTTCTGTTTTCTCAAATTGAATGAATTTTCCAATGCATACACAAGAAATGGATTTGCGTATGTGTTTATTGTCTTAGTTTCTTCTTGGTGATCAAAGGAAAAAAACTTGTTTAATACGAAAAAAAGATTGTCAAGAAGAACCAAGAGTTGGCCACTCTTAGTTCATGGTAGTCAAAAGTTCATCGGTTCTCTTCATAAACATTCATTATTCTCTGCCTAACCAGGTATATTGGCATTGAGTCATTCGGCAAGGACTTCCAACAGTTTGTTTGATCCATGTTTGTTGGAGTTGTTTCTTTGTTCTGTATTGATTTGAATAAGATATCCTCAGTTTTATTTTTTCACCCTTTTGAATATATGAAACAGTTACGTTGTACCATTTGCAGGTTGCAAATGCAATGGCTGCAAAAGCCAAACTTCTTCTTAGGGAACTGAAGACTGTCAAAGCAGACTTTGCTTTTGCAAAAGAACGGTGTGCGCAGCTTGAAGAAGAGAACAAAGTGCTGAGGGAAAGTCACGATAAGGGAGATAACCCTGAAGATGACGATCTGGTAATCATACACTAATGCATTGTACATTTAGCCAACAGAATTCTATGTGGGAATCAAATCATATACACTCTTAAATCGGTTGGTGGTTAATTTGTGATAAGTCTACTTAACAAACATAGAAAAATGTTCAATGATTTTTTTCTGACATGCAAACATATTTGACAAATTTTCTCCAACTTGTTGTAATTCTATGTTGTATTTTTTATGCTGTATCCCAAAATAAAGAGCCTTAAGCGCCCCTCTTCCTCACATGTATGTCCTTTAACTTATAATAGGTAAAGATGTAGTGTCGATCAATTCAATTGAATTCTGCATGAAGCATTGGTTGTGGCATGTAAATAGCCTTGTTTATGTCACTGCTGTACTATGCTCCTACAGTCAGCTGATTTTTCTATCTACATTTTTGGATGTTCTAATTTCTATTAGTACCACCAGTAAGTCACCTTATCTTTTTGAATGTGGTTTCTATAAGTTCCTTTATTTTCTTAAAAGGAAAAGGACACTGTACTAGTTCTGCCAGCTTGATTTATCCTTTTATTTTTTGTTGCATCAATCATGGCTATCATGTTGTTGTTCGGTATTTGCTTCTTTTTGGAGTAAGACAGATTTAATGTTTAAACTTATCCATGTAATTATGATTGATACTAAATCTACACCACTTTATTAAATAGTTTGCAAAACCATGTGTGGTTGCTTTTACCAATGCATAAACCTTTTGCTCTTACATCTTTTATTTTCTCAACAGATTCGACTACAGCTGGAGACGTTGTTGGCTGAAAAGGCAAGATTGGCTCATGAAAATTCTGTATATGCACGGGAGAACAGATTCCTGCGAGAGATTGTGGAGTACCACCAACTCACCATGCAGGATGTTGTCTATGTGGATGAAGGCATCGAAGAGGTCACCGAGGTCTACATGACCCCTAATGCTCCCTCAACCCCATCATTTGCTGCATCCGAAGCAAACACTGTTCTCGTCCCGACGCCACTAACTCCCACTCATACGACCAATAGCCCTACCTCTGTTCATCCACCGTCACTATCACCCCCCTCAATTATCATACCAGAAGATTGTCCCATTGTCCCTATCCCCCCTATGCCCACTCCACTATCAGATCCTCTAAAATCAGCTCCACCGCCTCCGTCTGCAGCAGGTGCTGGGTACTAGTAGGCGGCCATCGAATCTGGTGTGTGTGCCATTTTTGCTCGTGTTCGATGAGTGTGATATTTGTTGTTGCATGTAAATTGGATTCCTTCACATATGTGCCAGTAAGTTTTACCACCAACCTGGTCAAATGAGTTGTGTCGTTAGCATTGTTGTTTGATATGTAAGTTATGTTTTATGGACTTGCACAATGTTGTTGATTCTTATAGTGCTTCCATGTGATGCTGTACTAGTACCAGCTCACCATCACTGAGCTCTCTATTTGCAATCAGAACAAAGCCGTTTCATGTTGCTGCGTGCGTGCGTGCTTCTTGTTCGTGTTTCGTGTGTTGCTTTTTGGCTGCTATGCAAGTATTAGTATCCTATTTACCTTGTATCATTGATGCTTGCTAAAATTTCCAGGACCTAGACATGGGGAACGAGATGAGGTGGTGGAGGATGTAGTATCTGCTTGTGTGCGCGCCCGTGGGACGCCTTCTCTTTGAAGTCCTTGCCCGCCGCAGAAACTGTGGCTTAGCTGACTAGTAGCTTGTCAGGTTATGTTTTGCCAAACTATCTTTTTATGAAATTATATCTCGATTTCACGAAAAGTAAAAAAATTCGTAATCTGAGCTTGCAATTAATTCTTCGTTTTTTATTTCCTATTTTCAAATTCTAAAATCACATTTAAACCAGGATCGGCGTGAAACATCTTCTGCAACGACTTCTCCTGGGGAAACGTTGCCATTGTTGAAGACACATCCCGAATCCAGCGTCATATGGTTGGTACAAGAAACTAAAAACTAAAAACACAAAACACCAGACAAACAAAACGTTTCCCAGTTTGGTTCTCCGCCCCCAAGGCTGGCAACTTGGCTGCGATCATGTAATTTGCATCTCTCTCTCTCTCTCGCTCGCTTGCTCTCTCCCGTATGTCGAAACCCTACAAACGAATCATCAATGGCTTCGGCAGGCTCTACACCCACGAATTCCCGGCGAGTCCTGCGCCACGAAGCCCCATTTCTTGGGGCCAGACGCGGTTCTTGATTTCGAACCCCTTCAGCTCCTGTCGCACCTCAAATCTCTCGCCGTCTTCGGATTCCGCATCCCCGAATCGCATCTTTTCTCGTCTGTTCGCTTTGAATTGCAACTCGAGGCATCGGGGCCCCGTGACCGCCGCTAAGCTGCCATCTTTGGGTCTCGGGATCAAGGGCCTCGCTCGGATCAACGAGAACGGGTGTGGCTCCCGGTTCTTCTCCTTCAAGAGTTTGAATTATGGCAAGTACAGCAGCTTCGGTGTGGGCATGGGGAAATCGGTGGTCGATAAGCCATTGTCGGCCGTTTCATCGGCTTTCTCTCGGTACCGCCAAGTGGTTGGATTGCAAATGGAGGCGTTTTGGAAGAGGAATCATATGATACTAGTGTGGAGCGGGGCTGTGGTTGTCTGCATTGTACTCTGGAGGATCATGTTTGGGATTGCGAGCACCTTTGTTGGCCTTTCGGAAGGCACGGCGAAGTACGGGTTTCTTGCGCTCGCGTCAGCCATTGTGGCCTTTGCGGTGAGTATTTCATTTTATATTATACTTAAAATTAGGTCGAATGAGTTTTTCGCCAAGAAGGGATTTATCACATAGTTGTTATTTATCATTTGTTTTCTTTTTTTTAGAACTTAAAATATTGAGCATGTTTGCTCCTCTGAACAATTAGAGACGGTCGTGATCAAGAATAAGGTGAGGAAAAAATGTTTTGAGAGAAGTTTTGAGATATCCTCGGAAGACCTGTAGATGCACCGGTTTGTCATAGTGAGTCAACTCAAATTACCCAAGAGGACTTCATTCCAAACAATAGAATAGGATTTGATGAGTCTTAATGTAATTGGTGATACCGCTTTCTGCAAAGCTTGAAAGAAGAAAGAATCAATGTAGCTGGCTCCATATAGTGTTTTGTTGTTGCTGCTGAAAATTTTTAGTGAAAATGCACATCGGCCTTTAGGTAAATGTAACCATGTCGTGTCTGTGTGTCGGGCTTTGAGATAGGACAATTATAAATGATCACAGCTTAACAAAGATAGCCTCTCTCCCCTTGCAGTCGGAATTAGGTCAAAAGAATTTTTCACCAAGAAAATATTTCTCGCATGGCTTTTATATGTTATCTGTTGGATTTTGTTGTGAAAGTAAAATATTAAGAATGTTTGCTTCTGTGAACAATTAGAGGTGGTCCTGATCAAGAATAAGATGAGGAAAAAATGTTTACCAGAGTTTTGAGATCTCCACAAAAGACCTATAAATACACTGGTTAGGCTTGGTGGGTCAACTCAAATTGCCAAAGAAGACTTCGTTCCAAAAAATAAAAGATGATTTGATGAATCTAATTTATTAGTGATGTTACCTTCAGCAAAATTTCTTATACCCTGCTTAGTTGCAGAAAATGTGATGGACTGATCGTGGTTAGGAACATTGGATGTGTACGAAAATTTAAATGACTTATTATCTCAAACCTCAGTTCTTTGACCTGAAGTTTTTGTAAATAAAGGATGTCCAATGCCTAATTATAGCTGCAAGCATAATAACTATCAAGGTTCTGAATATCGTATTGTACTGGTGTATCGATCAAGTGTCGGTACAACATGTATCGAGCTGTACCGAGCGTACTGACACCAATGTTCATAATTTCATATCGTACCGGAGTTTCGAACTCAACTTGGTACGTTTTGGTATACCTCTCTGTCACGGACTTAGCTGGTTTTGCCTAAGTCGTGCGACACCCTTACATGTCCGTCCGTAAAGGTCAGCCTCCCCGAAACCTCCCATGGTCCCTTAGGACCTACAAAAGAGAAAACAGGTTAGAGAAAACGCTTCACTCGGGATCCACAAGCAAACATTTCAAGAACACTTCATAGACAATGCAAATTATAAACAGACTTTACAAGCTTTGAACGGTTGCACAACAAAGGGTCAAAATGGTCCACTATAGACCGAATATCTCTCACCCACATGGCACAACCTTTATTTTCAAGCCTAAGAAGGTTACTAAACCCAACTAAAATGGGGCTATTAAACCTTCGACCGTCCCTCTACATGCTGTGCAAAGCATGAACAAACCGAAAGACACGGACATACATAAGTATTACATTAAACATCCTGTTTAGAACTTTGTCCGTAACAGCATGGTGTATATATATATGTATGTACATATATATGTATGTACATATATATGTATATATATATATATATGTATATATATATAAACTATGTCACCTCAATACTCCTCGCGCTCTACCCGCGTGAGGAGGACGTTTCCTTCTCCTTGCACGAAAAAAAAAATAAAGGCAACGTCGCTCGATTTTTGCCCGTGTGGGGAGAAGGAATCGTTTCCTTTTCCCCGCATGAAAAAAAAAGAGAGAAAGGCGACGTCGCCCAGTTTCCCCGCGCAAGAAAAAAAAAAAGAGAAAGGTGACGTCGCCTGGTTTCCCTGCACGAAAAAAAAAAGAGAAAGGCAACGTCCCCCGGTTTCTCCACGCGAAAGAAAAAGAGAAAGGCGACGTCACTCGGTTTCTGCTCGCGTGGGGAGAAGAAACTGTTTCCTTCTCCCCACGTGAAAAAAAAAAAAAGAAAGACGTCACTCGGTTTTTGCCTGCGTGCTTGCAAAAAAGAAAAAAAAAACGCCTAGTTCCTTCTGCTTGCGTGGGGAGAAAAAATCGCTTCTCCCCGTGATGTCGCTGATGCTTCTTTTCTCCCCGTGCGGATGAGAAGAAGTCGCCAAGGCCTCGTCGCCTCAAACGAGGAGGCGACATCATCTGCAGCGTCAGGCGAGGGAGGTGGCGACAAATCGGGATCGTCAAGGGAGAGTGGTGTTGGATCGTTTTCTTTTTTTCTTCTCCCTCTTCTCTTTCTTCTCTCTCTGTTAGGATGATAACGGAGCTAAAACAACCCCAATCGACGCTACCGCCTAGTAGCGGACTATCACAGACTTAGTTGGAATTGCCTAAGTCATGAAGCACCTTTGCGCCAACTCCTCAGACTTAGCTGGGATTGCCTAAGTCATGAGGCGCCTTTGCGACATATGCGTCCGCAAAGGTTCAGCCTAGTTGCAACCTCATACAGGTCCCGAGGGACCTGTAAAACAGAAAGTTGATTAGATTGAAAACGAGCGATGAACAAGTTCCGAATTCTCGCGGAGAGGGAAGCTTTACAAGCAATTCAGCAAGCACTTTGAGTGCAAAAGAGAAAACAGAGGAAGGAGAAAACAAGGACTTTAGAAGGTAGAACGAACAGTTGCGAGTCCACAAACAATTGCTCACCGGGTGCCGGGTGCCGGGCGCGAAGGCAAGTTCCCGTCAAGTTAACGTGCGAACTTGTGAAGATTTTTCAACGCCCAACAATATACCGAAGCCCCATCCAGCCCTGTGCCACCTGGGGGGTTCCAGGGTGCTAAGATGACTGACGTTTTGGGCGTTTCGGCGGGCTGCAAAAAACAACCCGCAACACGCGAAAACGGAGCCATTTTGGGGCTTTTTGGCCCAGCGCGGTGAGCGGTCGCACTATAGCGCTGCAACCTGTTCGAACATGTATTTTTACAATCAAAGACACACAAAACCAATGCAAAACAGGCTGCCATGTCTCTGTACAAGCATGCAAAAGCGACGAACGATTCGTTGAATGAAGTTATTGCGAGTGCGCGACGACCGTTCGTGACAGGATGGTCCGTATATAGATTTGCTGACGGACCAATATGTACCGCCCGGTATAGGCGGTATTATTTGAAATTAAAATCCTCTGACACAGTATACTAAGGTGTATCGATGAATTACCCGTATTGGTCTTTTATCGGACAAGTATATACCACTCATACCGAGCGGTACGGTACAGTATTGCAAACCATGATAACTACCTTGGTGGGTTCTTCAAGAATAATTCTAGATAGTTTATATTGTTCAGGTGAAGATGGTTGACATGGTAGAAATATCGGTTCTTTGATGAGAGCTTATCACATAGAATCAGCAATCCACCATAAAAAGTTTAGTGGTTTGGTTTAGATTGAGCTATATTTACTTGTTTTATAATAACTGATAAATGACGTGTAAGCCATGTCATTTTGTGTTAGTAGTCACTAGTTCAGTATTTCTTTCTCTTTTTTCCCATTTCCTTGTTGCTTATATTTCATGTTCTATCTGAATCTTATGTATTTAACTGAAAAGGCCAACAGAGATAGATTCCTCCTGGAATCTCCTTGTTTACTCTTAGAGAGACTCTGATTTCTTTAACACTAAAAGTTTCACTTATTTTCTGAAGGGAATGTGTTTTCGTGCACGGTTTGCTAT